ATGGAAAAATAGATGTGGCAGGTTTAACCCGCAACCAAGGTACATGCCCTTGACCGGAATCGAACCTGGGTCCTTCAGTCTGCAGTCCAACACTCTATCCACTGAGCCAAACCAGTTAGGGCTAATATTATATTCTTTATGAAAACCTACAGAATGATCTATGAAAATAATAATAGAGGGTTAAAGATGGGGGGAGTTTATTCATAGTGAAGGTACTTGCCCAGTATTCCCACTATGACAATAATAGATAAATGCCATGATTTTACCTAGTAAGTGTTTTTGGTTATACATTATCTGTAAATATAGAAGGCTTATTTTGGTATATCATCAAACATTATTTGCATGATCAGGTTGTATTTATGTATAAAGGAAAAATCAGTCTAATTTACTTGGCAATTGTGGACAATTTATGAAAAAACATTCAAAGGAAATAAGTCTTAGAGAAATTTTATTTTGAAATCCATTTCTATAGTATTTCAGATGTAGTTTACTTTTCTGTGTGAATAACTTACTGCTTTCTGTATGTGAGCTGCATTCTGTGTTTGTTTTTTTTATAACTGTGGAGCTGAGGATGGATTTTAAAATTTTCAAGGGTTGTTTTGGAAGATTAAAAACAGAAGAGTATGTCACATACAGAAACTGTATGTGGCCCTCAAAGCCTAAAATATTGACTATCTGGTCCTTTACAGGAAAAGTTTTCTAACCCCTGCTATCATGTCTGGGGATTCTTGGCTTTCCTTTCATATTTAAGAGTCAGACACTAAAAACAGTTTGGGAACTGTGCACGCAGGATTTGGTGAGCCTCACTGAAGAATGACTTGGTGATGCTGAAGTTAATGTCTGTAGAGGAGAGTAATCTCCTACCGGAGTGAACAAGCCTGTGTGCATGCTTCAAAGGTGAACATGCCTTTGAGTATGTTGACTTTCTCTTAATTTTTCTGTTTTGAGTACAGTCGCTTCATTCTAAACTGCTGTACCTCGAATTCAGTTTCTTCAGAGGCTAATCTTAGGTTTCTGCTGGAGTCAGAGTGGAGTTTGTTACCTGGCTGCACAGGAAAGTAATGGAGAGTTAGGAGACAATTTCTACTTAGATAGAGGTCAGCTCCCACAGGTGTTTTCATTTTATACCCACACTGCTGTGTTTTGTAGAATCTTGTACCCTCATAGTTAACATTTTCATGAGAAAGTTTAAAGGTTTAAACACAATTAAGAATTAATTGTATCCATAGTAAAAATTAATTTAGCTTTTTTGTCCTTGAGTACATTCCCATCTTTTTGATATTTGAAGTTTTGTGTTTTATTCAGTTATAACAAAAACGTCAAGCTATTGCTGAAAACTAGAAATCTTTAATTTTCAGAACAGCCCCCTGAGGTGATGGATGTATAATATTAGTTGTACTCTTACAAATGAAGAAACTGAAAATAAAGGAAGGTAAAAAATTAACTTCACTCAGAGGATCACATAGTAAGAGTTGAACCAAGATTCAGCCTGGCAGTCTAAATCTAGAGAATGCTTTCTTCCTTTTAAAAAAAATATATATATTTTTAGTATTGATTTCAGAGAAGAAGGGAGAGAGGAGATAAAAACATCAGTGATGAAAGAGAATCATTGATCGGCTGCCTCCTGCACGCCTCCCCCATCACCACCACTGGGGTCAACCAGTGTGAGATGTGCAACCCTGACCGGGAATCAAATTTGACCCGGTTAGTAGGTCTACACTCAACCACTGAGCCACACCAGCTGGGCAAGAGAAGGCTTTCTTTATAACTGTCACACTACCATATGAAGTATTTGGCAAGTAAATTATAGTAGGAAATGCTTTGAGTTTAGAAGAGGAAAACAATGGTCTGGGCTGGAGAGGTAAAGGTAAGCTTTATGATGGATGTAATTATAGAGCAAGCATGTCAGACTCGAGGCCCATCCCACAATGAATATTTTTGTGGCCCAGCCAATATAACAGTATGTAAGAAACATTTTAATAAAAATTTTGTAACAATTTTTACAATATGCTGTTATACATAATTATTCTTTAAAAAATATATTTTTTATTGATTTTTTTACAGAGAGGAAGAGAGAGAGCTAGAGTTAGAAACATTGATGAGAGAGAAACATCAATCAGCTGCCCTCCTGCACACCTCCTATTGGGGATGTGCCCAAAACCAAAGGTACATGCCCTTGACTGGAATAGAATCTGGGATCTTTCTGTCCATAGGCCAATGTTCTATTTATTGAGCCAAACCAGTTAGGGCTAACTATAATTATAAATAACAAACTACAGTGTTTGCTAATGACTGATTACTATAATCATGTTGCATGCATTTCTCTTACGCTCAGGTACACCATTTCTCCACTAATACTAGCATCGAATAGTTTAGCAACTGATTGCTACATCATTAGCCTTGGACTGACTTGTTTGGTGTACGCAACAGGAAATATTTTGCTTTCAGATAACAAGAAAAATAGGTTTATTTGTGTTATGCCTATTAATTTGTGCAGTTAGTAGGTGTCTGATAAGTTAATGTTCAAGAAAAAATATTAATCTTTTATTAAAATGTTCTATTATTTTATGTTACCGATTATTACTCATTTATTTCAGCCCTTTGTATTCAGCATGCCTTTATCGAAATAAACCTACGTTTCTATGAAAATTAAAGCTTTTGTTTTTTGCTGCCCACATAAACTTAAGCCTTGTTTATTTGGCCCGTGTTAGCCTTTGAGTTTACCATGTTTGATATAGAGCTTCAGTCTTAGTAGGTATATGGAAAGGAAGAGGGTAATTCTGATAAGTTATGACCCATGACTGACATAGATGTTACATTTAGGAGATGGTAAATACACCATTTGGGTTTAGGTGGAGGTTTGTGGACTAATGAATAAAAGCTTGAACATATGGGCATAGACAAGTGATAGTATCTATACTAATAATAGAGGAATATGCAAACTGTCCAAGGCCAGCGGGGGGTTGGGGGGGACAGTTGGGGTGACCAGGTAGGCATGGGTGGGGAGCAGTTAGGGGCGATAAGACCTGCAGGCAGATGAGCAGTTAGGAGCAAGAGGTCCCGGATTGTGAGAGGGATGTCCGACTGCTGGTGAGGAGTCCCGTATTAGAGAGAGTACAGGCTGGGCCTCTAGTTAATAGAATATTGTTTATGTATTTTATAATACATTGTGGGTTATGGGAAGGTTCTGTTCTAACAATAAATTGTTGATTGTAAGATTTACCCAGTATTCAAAATGAATTGAGAATGCAGGAAGTATAAGATTTTAGGTGTTTGTGGTATAGGATTATATTAGATTAAAGTATTAATGATTATAAGGAAGATCATGCTTCAGGAATAAAGCTGCATCTGATTTTGTAGGGTTTTTTTCTTTTAGTGTTGACATATCCATTCATTTATGTTAACCCTCACCTAAGGCTAGTTTTTTATTGATATTTAGAGAAAGTGGAAAGGAGGAAGGGAGAGGGGTGGAGAAAGAGAGAGATATATATTGATGTAAGGGAGACACATCATTTGATTGCCTCTTGCATGCTCCCAGACAAGGGCCAGGTATGGAACCTGCAACCCAGATAAATACTCTTGACCAGGATTCGAACCTAGGAACCTTTAGTGCTCAGGCTGATGCTCTAACCGTGGCCAGGGTATTGTTAACAATTTTTGTAATTCATTTGTATGGAAACAAAGCTTGGTAGTGGGTGTAATCTTTGAGATATTTCATTTTGGTAGTTTGATATCAGTTTTGGCTAAATATGTTATTTTGCTCTTTAGTGTAACTAAATGAATGGGAAACTTTTCACTTCTGGATTCCAGTATCCATTTTCAGTAAAATATGAAGCACTTTTTCCCCAACCTGAACTTGGAGCCTTCAGGCATTGAGAGAGATAATAGCCAGAACTCAAAAGTGGTTCAGTTGTTCTAGTCGTTATGCTTATGGTTGCTGGCCTTTTATTATATAGGATTGGTAAGTGAATAGACTGCATCCAGATGGCCTAGAAATCCCTACCGCCTCTAAACTAGCTAAGTGTTCATGGGCCAGTTACTTAACCTGTCTGTGACAGATTTTTTTTAAAATCTATAAAAGTAGTAATAGCTGGCTAATGGGATAAAATTAGTTAATTGGTAATGCCTAATACTTAGCAAGTACTACATGACAGTTGTCATTATTTTCCCTGCTTGTCATACAGTGGTAGGTAAAAAATGCTTTCTATATATTTTTTGCCAAGCACCTTATTTGGTTTGGTGGGTTTATGCCTTCAAGGAGAACAAATTGGTATAATTAGAAATGTGGGTTCTAGTTTGGATCACCTATCAATCTGATGTTGATCAGTTAGTGAGAGGGAGTTCAGATAAAATGATATCTTTAATATTTTCATATAAAATGAAAATGTTTTAATATTTTTAATTGAACCTTTGGCTGTTTTTGAGTATTCAATTGGAATTTGTTTTGTTCACCATGCTGTGAAATGGTGAACCAGATATTTAGTTTTGTATCACAGCTTACCAAGTGAGTATTAGAAATTCTTAGATTTTGAGTTACTGGGTGATTTATAGTTGATTCCTGTGACTTGTGTTTGTTTATTCAGTCTAAATCTAAACTACTTAATAAACATGCCAAATAAAAGATAGTTTCCTAATATAACCTCTACTTTGGCTTTTCATGTCACTGAGAACCTATGTCATAAAATTACTAATCTCCTAGTAAAATTTGAGTCAGACAAACTAGAAATACATTCTCTTCCTAATTGCAACAATCTGTGTGTATGCACTTAAATGTTACGGGTTTCACTTAGATTTGTTTCATTTTTTTATGACCTATATCTTAGAAAACTTCAAATTTTCACTATGTTGTGAGTTTCCCCCCCCCCCATTTCCTTCCAAAGAGCATGTTGTAGAATTAAAAAAAGTAGTCAAAATTTATTGGAATTCAAGTCCTGTAAAGATGATTATGTCTGACTCCCGCAAAGTTATTTGTGGTTTTTCCTGAACTTTTCCTTCTGCAGCAAAGTTCTATTTTCATTAACTACACACTATTTTAAAGTAAAAGACGGTGGTGAAAGATCAGTCTGTGTTACCTTTGGATTTTTTTTCTTCGTGAAAGCAATGGCAGTCTTGATTGTAACAGAAAATTATCTGGAATTTGGACTTGAAACAGGTAATTCATACAACTTTAAAAATCAGTTTTGCTTTATCTAGTGTTACTATTTTTTACTTCAATATTCAAGTAAGTTTTACATCCGATAAGTTTTTAAAATTAGAGGTGCATATTTTGCAGTGTTCTAAATAACTAACCTTTATTGTTATTAAGTAAGATCTTCCTTCCTCTTTTGTTTTAGCTAAGTTTTTTTGTTACCTTTCTTCAGACATGCACTCTTTCCCCACTTCTTCCTTATAATTAAATCTTTCTGTAATGCTGAAGTTTACTCACATAAACACAGATGCAAACCTTAATGCAAATTTTATGCACATTCATGGAATGAACAAATATCAAAAGGATGTTTTCAAAGACTGTTCCTACTAGTAACCAAATTTTATTGCATTATGGCATGTTAATTAGCACATGAAAGAGCTAAACTAGTCACTTCAAAGTTTAAGATGCTCTGTTTTCTAGCATTTTATTTCCAAAGAAAGATTCTGTATTTTATGTCAGTGGTAAGAATAATATTTTTCCCCTACAGGATTTACAAATTTTTCAGACAGTGCGATGCAGTTTCTTGAAAAGCAAGGTTTAGAATCTCAGTAAGTTCTTTTTTTTTTTTTTTTTTTTTAATTAAGCATTACTTAAATTTTTCCATTTTTAGTAGAATAGATTTATTATGAGTGGTTCTTTATTTGTAATCAGTGAAAGAGTTTTAAATAGGACTGTCACTTTTAGAAATACTCTTTTAATTTTTACATTTGTATAAAATTAATATCTTTCATAGAATTTTTACATGTTCATAAGAAATTCTATGTTGAATATATAATAGGTTGGATTGTTCAAATGTGGCCTAAAGAGATGTCTAATTTAGTTTATAGTTCACTAAATTCTGCTATGGATATTTGGATAAGTGCAGTCCTTTTGTAGAAGTTCATTCTTTGTGTATTACTATTGTGTTTTTTAAATGATTGACTAGAAGAAAGAAAAATTCCTAGAAAGGTAACTTTAAAAATTTATCAGATTTTTAAAAATTTTATTTTTAGGGGTCCTGTTTCAAAACTTACTTTCAAATTTTTCCTGGCTATTTTCTGTTCACTCATTGGGGCTTTTTTGACATTTCCTGGATTACGGCTGGCTCAGATGCATCTGGATGCCCTGAATTTGGCAACAGAAAAAATTACACAGTAAGCGGAAAATGTACATAAGCACATGCAGATAAATATATGTTTTCCATCTTAATGAAGGTATATTATTGTGATGAAATCATACATTTTTATATTGAAAATTAATTTGATGTCACACTACTTCTTTCTACTATAAGCAAGTTTATTTTAATCATTTCCAAATTTTAAGTCCTTGCTTTAAAAAATATAACATCAATTGCTAAATTGTTTTACCTGTTAGAATAGAAATGTCATTATTTATGTTAACTTTTTAACCCAGGACAGTTTTTGATATTGTAATTTCTACAACTGAACTGAGGATCTATGGAATATTTTATTAAAATTGTATGTAAACTTATTTAAATTTAATTTTTTTTAATTAAAAATTTTAAAAGTAAAATATGTATACATAAGAGGTGTTTGTGCAACTCTTGTTAGAATGATGCATCGTTTTATTTTGGGGATTGTTAGTACTGTACAATGTCAAATATCATAGACTACTTTCAACTATCAAATTTTATTTTAGTTCTCAAAATGGAGATATAATATTTGAAAACATATATATAGTTCAAACCCATTTACTATAATCTGTGACGGATTTGGCCCGTGGGCCTTGTGTTTGACACATGTGCCTTAGCAGAATGACAGGTTTATAGATCCAGCTCATAGCCACATCCAAGTTCCCTTATCTTTTTGTTTTGCAAAAGAAGCCTGAGTTGAGAATAGTTTTTTTGATATATGCATTTATAATCATTAAGTTTCTGAATGATCATTTCCTAACACTTCTGCTCTTTAAAAACTCATACTTTAATATTGCTGATTCTGTAGTGTTTTTATATTACTATCTCTCTTACCTATGTCATTTTTTTTATTTTAATTTTGACAGTCTTTTTTCTTACCTCCATTTTTTTTAGATATGTGTGTATGTTCACTTATTCTCACCTACCATTGTACACTCCTTCATCCCTCTTTTTCCTCCTTTTACTCAGCATGCTCTTGGCTACATCCTGCCTTTCTCCCACCATTCCATCTGTCTAATGGCTTCTTTTAAAACAAAACCTGGTTCTCCCCCCTTCTCTACACACACACTTCAGTCCACTAACCCCAGTGTTATGATTTAAATAAGCTGAAAGGGTGGGTGGAGGGGATCCTTCACCAGCTACTGAAACCGCTGTGGGCTGCTCCTTAATACTAGAGTGTTCCCTAGCAACACTGCATACCTAATACTGCTGCTTTCTTCCCCACGCCCGAGGTTTGCCCAGCCTGTGAGATGAGAGAGTCACTTTATAAAAACATTAAAAACATTTACTAGTGGTGTTTTGAAGTGGGCGTGGAGGCACATTTTAGTTTCTTTTTAAAACGTGGCTTCTTTTTAAGATTTTTCACTTTAGGCATTTAGAGTCTTATTTTCAGTTTATTGTAGCCCCCACATTCTGTTGTAGCACTCTGCCTGATACAAGGGTGTGGGCAAGCCTATTTTGTTGTGAGAGTGGCATGACTGGCACAAAGAGCAGCTTTCTCCTCACCCCCATGGCCAGGCACTAGTACTTGTTTTAATGCCAGAGCTTAGAACCAGAGTTCCACCTTTCCCTATCCGGTGTTCATGGTTCCCAGCTGTGTGTGTGTGTGTGTGTGGTGTGTGTGGTATTCATGGGTTCCCAGCCGTGTGTGTGTGTGTGTGTGTGTGTGTGTGTGTGTGTGTGGTATTCATGGGTTCCCAGCCGTGTGTGTGTGTGTGTGGTGTGTGTGGTATTCATGGGTTCCCAGCCGTGTGTGTGTGTTTGTGTGTGTGTGTGGTGTGTGAGGTGTTCATGGGTTCCCAGCCGTGTGTGTGTGTGTGTGTGTGTGTGTGTGTGTGGTGTTCATGGTTCCCAGCTCTGTGTGTGTGTGTTTTAAACCTTCCTGTTTAGCCCTTCACTGTGGTTGATAATGAAAGTAGTACATGGCAATAAAATAATCTGAAGGATTTCTCTTTTTTTCTAAAATAAGAAAAATCTAGTCATGTATCTCTGTAGGGTACACATTTGGGACAACACTTAATGAAGGTATAGCTCATACCTGAAACCTTTTGCTCTATTAAAGTATATTGCCTTATTAGGAGTAATATAAATTTCTTTGGTTAGTAAAGGATAGGGAAATTTATTTCATGTATTTTTATAATATCCAAGAAGAAAACTTATAAATTATTTATGATTATAACAACATAATAAGAACAATATACATGATCATAATATATTGAAAGTTTCCTAAGTTGTTGCAATAAGTTCCATCTACTTTATGCCTTCTAATATTATGGACCTTGCTAGTCCATATAACTTGTAAATAATGAGGCATGTTGTTTTAGCTACACTGAAAATTATCAAACAATAACTCCTGTATACTGAAAACTCTATGAATTCATTGATTATGTAAAGTTAGAGAAACATTTAAGTACCTGTGTATTAAATCAGGGAAATAGCAGGGGTTTCTAACACTGCAAAAGAAATTAACAGATTTAGATTTTAATGCTATATCTGCCGTTGACATGTAATAATTGTTATGAGCAAGTCCTTTAACTTTCATGGATCTTATCTGAAAAATTAAAACAATGAAGTAGTTTTGCAAGGGTTCAAATCAGTGTTAATGATAAATGCTAATGATAAATATTAAATAATGGTGATAGTAGCACCTTAAATATATAGAATACTGTAAATAAGTTTTTACCTTTGTTATGTAAGTCCCAAGTTTCTGTAGTTTATTTTGTTTCTAGATTTTTATGTCTATTTCTTACATGCTTTTCAGAACATTGCTTCATATCAACTTCTTGGCACCTTTATTTATGGTTCTGCTCTGGGTAAAACCAATCACCAGAGACTACATTATGAACCCACCATTGGGAAAAGAAAGTGTCCCTTTGTAAGTATGGGTATTTGAGGGTTAATTTTTGTTTCATTATATAATAAAAAATGTTATATACTGTATTTAAAAATTTTAAGGAGAATATTAGGACACTATTTTTAAAACAATAGAAATGCTAAAAATGTGTTATAAAAGTGAAGCCTCAAGTCCTCATTTAACTCTTTGTGATCTTTATTAATGAATGTGGATGATTATTACCCTGCATTTACATTATTTTGAATACTTACAAGTTTTTCCTACTTTTTCAGTTATTGTCAAATTATTTTATATTTTTCTATTGTCATTATGCCTGCTTTAAAGATACTTTGTGCAATTCTTTTATTGTTTGATTGTGAAAATTATGGAGGAAAAAAATAAGTATAAATGGAAATTCATATATAAAGCCCCCATAGTAGTTATAACATTTTACATATTTGCTTCACCCTTTTTTTTGTTTTGTTTTGTTTTATGTAGTTTTTCAAGTATATCAGAGGCATAACATTTTTATTCTTTTGTACTTTAGTGTGTACCTCTAAAAAATAAGGACATTTTCCTGTATATCAAAATTTTAAATAATGCCTTGACATTATTATCTTTAATAATATTAGGTCATATCTCTCCACTTAGCTATATTTTAACAGAAGAAGATGGTAAGGAAACATAGAAATAATTTACTAGAGGGCATTAATAAATGTATTTGGTATGTTAACTCATTAGCCTTGTGAAATGATGTTAGAGTAATAGAAAGATTCATACAGAGCTGGTTTAAACCCCAGATCTGATTTTCACTAAAACTGTCACTTGAGGGAGATTATTTAACTTCACTGAGCCTCTGTTTCCCCATCTGGAAAATGAAGATAATAGTATCCACCTCACAAAGTTATCATTGGAATTAAATGAAAGAACACATGTAATGTAACCAGCTGGAAATAAGTGCTTAATAAATATTCCCTTCAGTGCTTTGCCTCATCAAAATTAAAATAGAAAATTTTGACTAGTCATTGACTCCACAGTGTGCATTTTATGCTATGTATACTTTTAGATCCAGGATTTGTCTTAGAGTATATAATCAGTGATAAGCATAACTTTTTTTATTTTTATTTTTAGAGAGAGAGAAATGTTGATGTGAGAGAGAAACATTGATTGGTTGCCTCTTGTCTGCACCCCGACCTGGGATTGAACCCCCAAATTAGGTGTGTGCCCTGACAAGGAATGGAACCTGGAACCTTTTGTTATATGGAAAGATGCTCCAATCAACAGAGCCACAATGTTTATTAAAAGTTAATCTTATTGAATTAGGGAAGTACCAGTAAAAGTTAGAATGTTTTCCCCCAACACACACACAATTAAGCCTTAAGGGTAAATAAGTATTTAAAAGTGGGTCTCTCTCTCCCTCTCCTTCTTTCTTTCTCTCCTTCCTTCCCTCCTTTCCTTCTTCCCTCCCTCTAGCAGGCCCGAAACTTTCCTCTTTCTTAGAGTTGCCTATGTTTTTCTTTCTCTTAAACTTAAACTCAAGGGCTCTTCTTTTGTCTTTGAACTTGTTCCCTGAGCCCATGTAGCCCAGCTGACTCACTTCTTCCACAGTTCACTTCTGTTTTTGTGTCTTTCTAAATAAAATTTTGTTTGTATTTGGGGGGTGGGGAAGTATATATCCTGAGAATCCTAGGACTCTAGACAAAAATCTCAGAAATACTTCTAACTAATGTCTTTGATGCTGAAAGCATTCCCCATCTTTCTTTGAAGTTTGGTCATAGATTTTGGATTTTATACTCCTATTATTATATTCTCTGATTTTATATTTGCTTTAGTTTAATTTGGAAAATAGGAAACCAGTATTCATGATGTATCCGTCATACACCAGTTAGTATGCTATGTGTTGATACTTTACTTATTTTATCTCATTTATTCTTACAGTGATTCTGTGTGTGATTGCTGTTCTCATCTCATTTTATAGATGAAGTAATAGACTCAGAAATTAAGTAATTTGGCTAAGGTTATTCAGTCAGATTTGATATATATAAAGCACTTAGCACTTACCAACAATCATTTCCCACTTTTACCCTAACTAAACTTTGTGCAGGTTAGTAGCAAATACAATGCTTAAAGGAACTGGAGATAAATAATTTTGCTTTGTGTGTATATTAAATTATAGGAAAAATGTGTTTTATATGAAGACCTAGTATTGCCTTTCTATATCTTAATTTCTTTTGTTTCATCCCCATTTCTGATCCATTTCATAAGCAATTCAAACAAAATTTCAGGCTTGTCTCTGCTCTATCCTGTTCTCTATTTGTTAGACCATTATATTAAACTAGAGGCCTGGTGCATGTAATTCGTGCATGGAGGGGGGGGGGCTGGTGTCCCTGAGCCCGACCTGCTCCCTCTCCAATCTGGGACCCCTTGAAGAGTGTCCGACTGCCAGTTTAGGCCTGATGTCGTGACAGTTGGACATCACTCTTGCAATCTGGAACTGCTGGCTCTAATCACTCGCCTGTCTGCCAGCCTGATTGCCTCCTAATTGCTCCCCTGCTGCCTGATTAACATCTAACTGTTCTCCTGCCGGCCTGATTGCCCCCAATTCCCTCCCCTGCAGGCCTAATCTCAGCCCCAACTTCCCTCCCCTGCCGGCCTGGTTGCCCCTACCTGCCCTCCCCTGCCATCCTGATCTCACCCCCAACTGCCCTGCCAGCCTGGCCGCCCCTAACTGCCCTCTCCTTCAGGCCTGATCTCACACCCTACTGCCCCCCCACCCCCGCCAACTTATCTTGTGACCATCTTGTAGCAACCATCTTGTGATGATGTCATGTGATGCCACCTAGTCTTTCATTACATAGGATGATTAGACAGAGGTGATTTTTAATTTTTGCTTAAAATTCAAAGTCCATGTAGTAGATTGAGAAAGAATGGCTGCCCATTCATCAAAGAAAATGTGATGAAGAAGAAAGCAAGTGACAGGTTTTTCGCCTATTACATGGACTAAAAGGTTTATGGAAAGGTCTTTATTTGTAGTCAGAAGCAAAAATGGTTCTAATAAGTTTCAACCCAGAAATCTATTTCATTCCATCCATATGTTCTTATTTAGCATCAAAAATATAAAATGTGGTCATTTGTGTATGTCCGTGACCTCATAAGAAGAAAACCAAAAGTGAACATAGAACATATACAAGGTAACCTAGAATGACTTCAGGAATATGGAGAATTGTCTTCTGCCTGTCCTTTACTTGGGTATTTTATCCAAGCTCAGGCTTCTTCTTGAGATAACCCATTAGATCAATTTACCAAATCTTTATATGAGGTTAGTTAAATAATCTGAGTTAGAAGTACTACTTAATGACTATTATTATAAATCCTGAACTGATGAACTGATAAACTGAGCAAATATTTTTTGATTCACCGCTTTATTCTATTCCCTTCATTTCCATTATCTGTCACCCTCCAAGTCTGTGTAGTAGCTGTCCTCAGGATGCTGTCGGCCAAGCCCCTTGTTGCACAGCTCCGAGAGCAGTGTTGTCTGTAGGCCCCCTGGAAGGTGCGGGGCTGTGGGTGGCCTTGCATCTTCTAGCCACAATACAGGACAGAGCAAAAGTAGGTTTACAATTGTTAGTGTACAAAACAGAGTCTATGCTTGTTCTTTTTATTAAATACTGTGTTGTTTTCCACATGGACAACTGTAGACCTCAATAGTTGCACAATCTCCAGTGCTTTCCTTCTTTCTTCTTCCTAGTCTCCAGGTTAAGAGCACCCAACTTCTCTTTTTATTTCACGGTCAATTTTTTTCCCCATGGAGAAGGATAGATAGAGAAAAGGATTCTAAGTACTACTCTACTCTCTTTCTTCCTGTAGATATCTGTTCCTACTTTAGTTTCATGAAACAGTCATCTATCTTGTTCTGTTATGCCAGTGAAAGTACTTCGTTATGTAGGCAGGTCTGTGGCAGAGTGGGATACTTTTGCTTTGTATCTCCCAATTGTAGCTAAGTGTATGTTTCTGACTGTAGGTTATGGTGAACATTAACACATAACTAATGTGCTAGCATAATATGATCTTTGAGAGCACCGTGTCAACTTTTTGATCTGTAGAATGACAGAAGCTACATTCGATACTCTGCGACTCTGGGTGATAATCCTGCTGTGTGTTTTACGGCTGGCCATGATGCGCAGTCACCTGCAAGCTTACTTAAACCTAGCCCAGAAGTGTGTGGATCAGATGAAAAAAGAAGCAGGCCGAATAAGTACAGTGGAGCTACAGAAAATGGTAAGTTTTATACTGTAATTAAAATGAAAACTAGCAAATACTGTTATAAGAAAAAAATAATTTGGTTGTAATTTTATAATATTTTTATTGTAAATAAACGGGTTGATTTTATACAGACATCAAGAGACTTTGATCTGATTTTGGTGTTAGAAGAAAGGGTTGTTTTTTTTAAAAAAATTTCCCTCCCCCATGGTCTTCACCACCCAGTTCCTGCCCTGCCCCAGGCCTTCACCTTCCTATTGTCTGTGTTCATGGGCAATAATGCATATAAGCTCTTTGGTTAATCTCTTCCCACTGCCAACTCCCTTCCCTCTGACCTTCATTAGTCTGTTCCATGTAAGAAAGGTCTTACTTCCACTTCCTGCCTTAAGTGTTTTAAGCACCTTACAATAGTGTGCTGTAAAGCTCTGGTGTGTCTACTGTTACTAAAATGAAAGACATTACAATATATTGTCAAGCCTTTATGAATTAAAGGGTAGGAAATATTAATTTTAGTGACTACATTTTTTTTTTAACATTATTCCAAAAATTGACCATGAAACATAAATGTTTAACTTAATGGGGATTCCAGAGGAGAAAAGTGCTAGGAATCCCTCAAGCATTATAGTGGACTGGAGATTTAGCCTGGTCATGTCTTTTTTGTTTTGTTTTGTTTAGAGCCCTTGTTTTTTACTTCATTTATAAATCAGGGGTATTCATCAACATTCCACATTTTTCTGTTTGTTATTTTATATATTTTCATAGTCTATAATTATTTGACTTCAGTCAAATATGTTCATATAGGATGGGGACTTGATGCTTTTATTTATAAAGGGGCTTTGCTCATGGATTAGTCTGTTAGATTTGCCTGTTACTATTATTTAGTTTGTTATTTTTTTTAGGTGTCTGACTTTAAAACAAAAATTGCTTATTTTGTTTTATATTGGAAATGTAAGTGAATATATACTATTTGAATTTTTGTGGTTATTTTATCCAATTTATATTAATCACTAAGAACTTTTTAAAGAAAACTGTTTTAATATTTTCACATTTAAAGAAACTTATCTTCAAACTGAGCCTTTCTGAAGTCAGTTTGGGGACATTTATAATGAAGTACAAACTTATTACCATTTAGCTTCGTTTCCATGAAAGGATTTCTTATCTCTTAAACAATTCAGTTTGACAGTTATTTGAAAGTATAATTCACTCGTAACATGTTAGCCATATTAGACACTGAAGAATGTTGTTGGTTGTAGGTGGCTCGGGTCTTTTATTACCTCTGTGTCATTGCACTGCAGTACGTGGCACCTCTGGTGATGCTGCTTCACACAACTCTGCTTTTAAAAACACTAGGTAGGTGTGCCCTGGCAACCGGGAACATGTTGTACTTTCCACCTGTGGTTAATAATGCTTCTTGTTACCCACAAGGAAATATGCATCTTAAAATTATTCCTCTCTTGAAAAGTTTGAATAAGAAACATGGAAAACTTTTAGTTTTAGAACTTGATTTCTCATGTTGAAAATTCAAGCCCATATGGTTTTATGTTATACTTTATTTATAAAAATTGATTACCAAAGGTTAGTTCCCAGATTTATTGAATAACTTGACTAAGCACTGTTGATCTTATTTGATGTTATAAAAGGACTTTTTAAAGTTTTGTTAGTGCCTAATATTTAAATTATTGCAAGGTACTTATAAACTTAAATGAATTATAGAATTCTTTTGTGAGTTCTACTTTATATATAACTTATGTTAAAAGAGTAGAGATTTCTCCAAGGAAAAACAGTTATCCTAAAAGTCTATTAACTAAGGTATCATGTCCCCATGTGTTGTTATTCAGGAAGTATCTATTATTGTATTGATCATTTTCCTTGGTGCCAGTGGGAAGGAGGTTAAGAAGCTAAAGGGAAAAAGTATAATTTGAGTGGACTTAGTAGGTAGTGTAGAGCTGATGATAGATGGAAATGTCCTTTAGGAATCTATGGAACATAAAGGAGTAGCTCAATTGTAAATTATGTGATTCATATCCTATCCAACATTGAAAAGTATATGATGAAAAAATTTCTGGAAGCTATTAATAGTCTTTCATACTGAAATCACAGATAGTTTCTGAGAAAGAAATTTATTCTGATATTCTAGAGGAAGAAAAGATTTCTAAGAAGTTATTGAGTCTGTCTCTGTCACTTTAGTAAAGATAGTTGATTCAGATATTACATAAGGAATTTTTTTATTATTTTAGATTTTAGTGCAGCTATTAAAAGTAAATTATACTTATAGCTTTTAGACCAGATTACAGTCTGATCAAGTTAAATGAATATTTTACTAGGTATGTTGAAAGGTTATTTTACTTTATATTTAACATAAAATAATTTAATTTCAAATAGAAGTTAAACAGTTTATTATTTTTCATATAAAGCTTTGGAATTAGTTGTTCTTCAAGTTTTATTTGTGTCTTGAATTTTCTAGGTCACCATTCCTGGGGCATTTATCCAGAATCTATCTCTACTTTGCCAGTGGATAATAGTCTACCATCCAATTCTGTTTACTCTGAATTACCATCTGGTGATGGGAAGGTGAAGGTAACTGTTACACAGATAACAGTGGCATTGAGCAGCTTAAAAAACATTTTCACTCCTCTGCTCTTTCGAGGACTTCTATCTTTTCTAACCTGGTGGATTGCTGCGTGTCTCTTTTCTACAAGCCTTTTTGGGCTTTTCTATCACCAGTATCTCACTGTGGCATGAATCTCAGTTAACATAAAAGGATATCCAAGTCACACTTGGGTTTCAAGTATTTGTGCCCTTGAAGGGCTGACAAAAAAACAAACAAAACAAACAAACAAAAACCAGAAGAAAGCAAATATAAAGGAGAAAAGAAACATATCAGAATATCTTGTTTGAAATGCTTCCTCTGTATTCTCAGGGTGAATTAATGATATTATATGTAAAGTTACTCAATAGATTAAGTGCTATACTGTGGCATTGGACGTTTTAACTCCTTGTGTTAACTGATGTGAGAGAGGGCTATCTGCAAGGGGAATGCTTCTGTTTACCTTGGCTTTACAGAAACCTCTAAAACAGTCTTTGGAACTTTTCATATGACTCCAGTTATTGGTTGCTCTTAGTGGTATTAAGGTACTGTTAATATTCATGTGGCTGCCTGTAGAACACTTTTCAAACTGAGCCATGTTTTAGAGGAGGTTAAGGAGCTAAAGTTTTTCTGTTGGTAATATATTAGTCACTCTTCAAACAACAATAACAAAAAAACCAACAGAAAGGAAGAAATAGCTACTGTATATTACAGTAAAGAAAGCTGCATAGTAATCTTAAATTTAATGAAGATGTACATGCTTAATATCTGCAAGTACTGCTGCTTGAAAGTAGCAAGAGTATTGTTTTAAATGTATTCTATCCAACTTGAGGGATCTTTTAAAATGACTGGCTATATGAACATTTGCAATCTTGCTATTAGGTTTGGAACTCCCATATTTTATTTTATTTTATTTTATGATCCTAAATATTTCTTTTTAATAATCTAAAAATATTTATCTATATTGATCAGACTTTAAAGAAATTACTTTGTAATCCTGCTGACTACCTGTATGTATTGTATATATTATATATTAAATATATAATATATTGAGATTATAAAAGATGAAAATACTGGATCCTTATATTTTAAGTTGCTGAATGTAAAAACATTATTGAATGAGATGTCTTTGTGTCTAGAAATTTTCTTTCTTTTTGGAATGAGATTAAAATACATTTTGAGAATTTATTAGAGCAAGTAACTTATTTGTGGTGCCCGTGTGAGAATAGTCATGTTTTATACTTAGTTGGTTTCTCCCAAATGAAAATTTTTTCCCGTCATTTTCAAAAAATCATAATCTTTCCCACACTAAAAAATTCATGTTAAATAGGACTTGTTTTACATTTTTGGTGTCCAGAATTAGAAATGTTAAATTTTTATTTTATAGTTCAGAAATTGAGGTGATTTAATTGAAAAATTTAAACACAATTTAGATAGATAGATAGATAGATAGATAGATAGATAGATAGATATGCCCAAGTGACCAGCCGATGGGCTGACTTGCCAACTGGCTGGTAGCTATGACGTACACTGACCTCCAGGGGGCAGATGCTCATTGCAGGAGCTGCCAAGCCTTCTTGCACTCTGGGATCCCTCGTAGGGGTGTCGAACTCAATCAGAGAAGGGGCCAAAATCTAAAATCCAGCCTAAATCGCGGGCCGAATGGTTTACTGAACAGTCATAAACTGTCATTGTGATGGAAACGCAGCGGAGTGCAGTGATGACAGCGCGGTGCGGGCCACATTGCAAGGCCTGGCAGGACAGATTTGGCCCGCGGGCCTTGTGTTTGACACATGTGCCTCGGGATGTCAGGCTGCCAGTTTTGGCCCGACCCCTGCAGGCCAGGCTGAGGAACCCCACTAGTGCATCGGGCCTCTAGTGAAAAAATAAAATTCTTTTTCATGCTTTTTACATCTAAAACCGAAATGAAGGGTTACAGTTATAAAGGAAGTAAGTATAAAATAAACAGGCTTGCTTTTTCTAACAAATAGTAGAATTTATCAATAAATATTCTTTCATATAACTGTCTCTAGAGGCTATATATTGTGTTTCAATGCTATTGTTACTTATTATTGAAAGCAATTTTGAAACTTCTTTTGGAATTACTTTCAAGGCTTGTGATTCACTTTGACTTGAATAATCTCAGTACAGCAAATTCCTGCATTTTGGTATAGATTAAATGTTTTGCAAGTAGTTGATATTTTAAAAGACTGAATAATAGTGCTTAAGTTGGATAAAACTCTTTGGTTGAAAATGAAGTGTGACTATAGCCTAATAATACTTCATGTGTATTTCCAAAGAAGCATATCATATATACTGAGATATATTAGCATCACTAAAATTGATTACAGCAAAACTGTATGTAAGTTTTCCCATATTGGACTTGAAAAGAATCTCACCTGGTATGACCATTTTCTTAAAGAACTATATTTTAGGCTCCGTTGGTTGAGCATCATCCTGTGCACCAAAAGGGAACCGGATCAATTACTGGTCAGGGCACATGCCCAGGTTTTGGGCTTGATCTCCCGTAGGAACGTGCAGGAGGCAGCCAATGGATTTTCTCCTTTACCTCAATGTTTTTCTCTTTCTCTCTCTTTAAAAATACCAAAAAAAAAACACACTGCATTTTAAAAATTATTAAAGTTATTATTTTGAGTTTCAAAGATTGTACTACGGATTTATGGGAGAGGCAGGCATAGAATTCATTATTGGGTAGCATAACATGTATTTCTAAAAATACTATTGATTTACTCTTTTTAAATTTGAATTTTCCTAAGCACACTGATTTTACAGAAGTTGAACATTAACTAATTGATTTGGTTTAGTTTTTTTAACCACCAATGAAATGATGGTTTTAACTACTAACTGGTTTATTTATGCATGATGTCTTTGTTCCAAGAGTTATATTCTTTACGTGTAAAAGGGTTTGTACTTTATGTAAACCAAGTAATATTTTTTAATTGAGATATAATTGACATATAACATTGTATTCGTTTTAGGTGTACAACATAATGATTTGATTTATGTATGTATTGCAAAATGATTCTAAATATTTCAATAGCCTAAATTAGAATTTAGTAGAATTATTTTATTTTTCATGTCAGACTCTAATCAACATACTATGCTTCAGTGGAGAGTTACTTTTATTATATATTTTTCCAAATTAACTAGGAATCCTAATAATCTCGTTTTGTATCATTTGTGGAATTTTATTTGATAATTTATTCATTTCTCTTCCCCATCCCTGCCCATTGCACTTTAAAAATCAGAACTTTATTCTCCTACCCTTGTCTGAAATGAAAAGCATATAATTTTATCCTAATATCTATATACATATTGATTATCTTTGATATTTTCCCCAGAATTCCAATTGTGTATAAATGACCAGTGCATCCAAGTAGAATGGGTTTATTGTCTTATTATTTCTAATATAAATATCATTGATACAATACTGACATTTCTTTTTGAGTTATGATTCAGAAAAGATATTCATCTATTAATGGAATTGATAGGTCCGGGAAGCAATAACTAGAATTCATTATGAAATCTATAATTGGAAATTCACTGGTTAGATATTATTCTTTCTAATGAAAGATTAAATTCTCAGTACTACAAAATATAGGGTCTCAGCATTCTCTGAATTCATACATACTTTCTGAGCCATCTCATAATTAATTGAAAATTGTCTATCATGGTCTATGGCTCTCTCTATTCAGCAAAATAAAACCAAGTGATTTTTTAATGTGGGTCATCTTGTGTTCACAGTGCTTTAAGTGGCTTAAAGAATCAGACTTAAACACACTTATGATCTTAGAGCTTGAACCCAATGTCTCAAATAGTCACATAGTCTCATCTTCTAATTCCCATGCATCTCATGTCTGTACCTTGGGTTTATAACTGAGCTGGTTATATGCCATGAAGACCCTGACATGGACACTAAGGATGGTCAAAAGGCTAATGTCAATCTTTCTTTTCTTTAAAATGGTAAACATTTTTGTTTTCTTTATAAGAAAAAAACAGATATAGCCTGTACATATGCTTGTTTTCTCTTACTAAGGTTCTCCTTTTAGCTTCAAACTGTTCGTGTTGAATGGGCCTTTCTTTAATGGGTCAAAGAATTTGTATTTTTCTATTCCATTTGTTTGTTTGTTTTTCCCTCTACATGCTTATTCCTCTCCTTTCTCCTATTTGGCAAAATGTTTGATTTTCTTAATTAAAATAGTATAATTTTCTAGACAGAATGTTAAGATTTAAGAAACATCTTGTCCCATTAGATACTATTTTGTTATTTATTAAGTATTCAACCCATGCTAATTAAATAGAACTGAGCTATCACTATTGCCTTAGTTTTACCATGTTAGATAAATTAAAAGAGTTTATATTAAAAGTAAGGCTAAATATTTCTAAGTTGGCAATGAGTTTTGCTTTGTGTTGGCATGAGAAAAATAAAATTACTACTTTTGGCTTCAGGGGTGTTTATAGATTATGTTAGAAGCATTCACTTATTTTTAATTGGGAAAAAGACTTCACAAACAGTATTTTCTTTAGGAATATTTTTGTTTGTACTCAATTTATTTGTTCAATAAATATTTAAGTACCTATACTGTTCCAAAGACTGCCCTTGATACAACTATGAACAAAATATCAAAATCCCTGCCCTCCAAGAGCCAAAAATCTAGTGGGGGAATGCAGATAATAAACAAAAATAAATATGAGTCAAATATAGGATGTTAGATAGTGATAGGATCTCATGAGAGGAAGGTAGGGGGATAAGGGAAGGGGAAATAGGAAGTTGCATGGCAGGGATAAAGTTAAAATTTTAAATAGAACACTGAAGGAATGCCTCACTCAGAAGGAGATTTTTAAAGGACATGAGGGTCATCATACTGTTCTTCTCTTTTATCATTACTAGAGGCCTGGTGCATGAAATTTGTGCTCTTGGGGGGTGAGAGAACGGGGGTGGGGGATGGAGGGTCCCTCAGCCCAGCCTGCGCCCTCTCACAGTCCGGTAGCCCTCCGGGGGTGTCCACCTGACATGGAGGCAGGAGAAGGCCCCACCATTGCCGCTGTTCTTGTCAGCCACGAGCTCGGCTTCTGGCTGAGTGGCACTCCCCCTGTGGGCGTACACTGACCACCCGGGGCAGCTCCTGCGTTGAGCGTCTGCCCCATGGTGGTCAGTGTGTATCATAAAGACCAGTCATTTTGCAGTTTTGTCAATTTTCATATTAGCCTTTTATTACATAGGATGGTTCTTGATCAACAAAACACCCTGACTGCTAG